CAAACCAGAGATACACAAATGAATTGGCACTGCATTTGAGGACTTGACAGGTATGTGATTAAACGGGATTACTATGATTCTATTTGTTTTAGCCACATTCAACTTTAAAGTGAAACAGTCTTTGATTTAAAAGTCTGGTTGGAAACCTATGAGTCTTCTTCAGTTTCAAATCCTTGTACTTTATCTTGTTAACGGTATAAGACAATGTGCCCAACTTCATCTCGAAGGATTTCTTGTCGAGAGGTTTCTCTGGTAACAATAACCTTTACTTTACGGATGACAGTGTTGGTGCGGGTTGACTTAGGGTGTGGTTTCGAACCACTTTATGTCCTAAATGTACGTCTGTGCGAGTTTTTCTGCTTCCACGGCTCCCTTCTTGGAAATGTTGTGTCCTTTGATTCTAGATAGTTTAACAATCTTTTTCTATGAATATTTCACGTTAAAAGAAGATTGTTATATTTTCCTCTAGCCTTACTTTTATCCATGGCGGCATTTCGCTATCGAATAGTCGGTAATTCGCCATGAACCAGACCTGTGGGTGCTCTACATGGTGTCACGGCTCCCATCATTAGTGACACACAGCTGAATTATCACACACCCATAATTATCATAAAGTGCGATTAGCCCTCTGTGTTATTGTTGGTTAACTGAAATCTTTGGTTAAGCAGCCGTTTATCTAAAAATATTATTATAATCATTGATAATTAATAAAGCAAAGCCTTTTCTGTTTGCCCGGCGGGACAAGGTGATTAGGGCGCTCGACTCGCAATCTGAGGTTCGCGGGTTCGAGTCCCCGTCACACCAAACATGCTCGCCCTTTCAGCCATGGGGGCGTTATAATATGACGGTCAATCCCGCTATTCGTTGGTAAAACAGTAGCCTAAACAACATTTTTAACTTTAATTTTATATTTGCCCAAGTGTGCCAATCTGAGGTTCGCGGGTTCGAGTCCCCGTCACACCAAACATGCTCGCCCTTTCAGCCATGGGGGCGTTATAATATGACGGTCAATCCCGCTATTCGTTGGTAAAACAGTAGCCCAAACAACATTTTTAACTTTAATTTTATATTTGCCCAAGTGTGTATTGGGTTTTGATTAAATAAGCTATAGGTTGTAAAGGTTGCTCCTGGTAGAGAATAGTTTACTCTTTTGTTACTGCTATTAACATAAACCATTGCTCTTGTCTTAAGATCTCAAACGAGTAAAGATAGGTTAGTTGGTTTTTCCATAACATCAGTCAGGATCCTAGATGTGAAACAAATGAACAAAAATGAACTCAAAGACTTTGTTTCAAATATATCACGAAGGATGAATTTACTTTAATATCATAGAACAGTTTGATTGATTTTATTATTAGCATTAAAGTACATTTCTCAGATTCTTCTGTGATTATTATTTTGAATTATTTATTGACATATAAAACGTGATATCATGATGATTTTGTTTGTTTGTTAGAAGTTAGCACAAAGCTACACAAAGGGCTATCT